TATAATTAAGAAATAAAATAACAAAATATATTAAATAATATATATTTTTATCTTATTATTATTATATTAAATATTTTTTAATTATATTTATTATACCATTATAATATAATTATATTAATATTATAATATTAATATTGCATCAATTACTAATATTAATTTATTTAATATAATTTATTATATTATAAAGTAATAATTGTTATTTTTAACAGTCATTTGTCTTACTAAGTTTTTGAGAATAATTATAAAAACTATAACTATATAAAAATTGAATGTAAAACTAATAAAAATTAAAAAAAAAGAAATAAGAAATAACAAAAAATAAGAAATAATATAATATTATATAATAATGTTAGTACAATAGTTAATAACAATATTATTGGTTATTTTTTAATAAGAATTATCTTTTAGTAGAAAATATTATCTGATTTATATAATCACAATGGATACTATTTAATTATATTTGGAATTAATTTTCTTTATTGAATATTTACTTTTTGTTATTTATTTTTTTATATAGTAATTTATTAAAATAACTATTTTACGTTTTATTTATTACATATACTCACCACACGATTTATTACAATATGATAAAAAATGAAAAAATTATGTCAAACAAGATAGAAATGATCATAGGATATGAAGTCACAGAAAGTGATATAGATACCTATATATATATGCGTATAAGTTCTACTAAAAACGATCGATAAATTCCAAGTGCAAAAATATCTTTTAGGATCTAGGGAATTTATTATATATTACTAGTTTATTATGAATTATTAAATTATGAATTTTTTTTCTTGATATTTTGTATTTATGTATGTATATATGATCTCAAATAAAATTTTGTTTCTAACTTATTAATATTGTTAAACACAAAAATCAAACTTGCATGATAGCATTTTATTTTTTATATTTATTTAAATCTTATTAAATAATTAAACAAAGTAAATTGATAATTTTTTAAAAACATTCATTGCTATTATAGATTAATGAAATAACAATAAATATTATATTTGGATCATTTAGGTAATTATTATAAGCATACAAAAAAAGTTAATTTATTTGAAATTTTATTTTATTTTTGTTATATAATTTGTTTTATTTAATATATAAATTTATCATTTTTATTTTTTTTAACATTAATTATTATTAAAATTATTTATAAAACCAAAATAAAAAATAAATTGTTTTAAAATATATAATCTATTCATTTGCATATATTTATATATACATATTTGCATGTTAACAATATTTTCACAGTTTTAATTTTTTTAAAGAGTAATTGTATTATTAATGATATTTACAGATATGATCAAAAAAATTCAAATAAATTTTATAATTACATTAATCTGCTTTTTTATTTCCTCGTGTTTTCCATGCTATTAAAAGATTCCAAGAAAAAAACAAAGAAAAAGAATGAACTTGTGATGCTAACAGAATAAATGCATACCATAACAATCCATATGGTAGATCCTAAAAATAAATTTTTATAATTTTGAATAATATTTTATATTAAAAAATTTAATATTTTAATAATATAGAATAATTTATTTATTTCCAATTATTTTATTTAAATTTATACCTGCCAGAAATGAATTTCATCTGTTTTACCAATAGTTAAATATTTCCAAACATCCTTAAAATAATAAATAAGTGCATAAAGTAATGGACCATATCCTAATAGAATGATACCTATCATATATTGTTTTAATGTTTTAATTTTATTTTTTTTAATAGCAGATAATGCAAGAAAATTTAAAAGTAAACTTGTACACCAAATATATTCCCACCATAGAGGCTATAATAAAAAAAGATATTAATTCAATATTTTATATTAAAAATCATATTAAAAATTATATACCTGTGGTACTTGCAATTCCTCAATTTCCAAAA